TGTTGTTATATAAATCTATAATAATTAGGTGATTCATGCGGGGAATATGTTGTTATATAAATCTATAATAATTTGGAGATTGATACGCGGTGTCTATAAGTTGCATACAATCCCTATCTAGGGTATTGACAACTAAACACACATCTATATATGACTATCCCTGACAGAATGTCCCTTAACATATGCGTATGCAGTAAAACTAATTTACAAATCACTTCATAATGTGATAGGCCCCATATGTCCAGTTGATATACAGATATCCGAACGAATGAAAACATAAGAAAAAAAATAATTAGTATACGATATAAATATAATATATTCTATTCAACAGGAAACAATAAATTGTCTTTGTTACTTTTATACAAGAAAAATCAAACGAATCATGATGTCCTAACATTTGGATGGTCGTCACAGTCACAAGCTAAATATTTGACGTCACTACTAATGATTAACTCAGTGAAGATATCATTTTAGCAAAGTGATACTTTCCATTATATCTCTGTTAGAAATACAAATAGATACATGCTTGATGATTTCTTACATGAAATATCTAAAATTTTACGAATATGTTTATTGTTAATATTTTATATATGTCTCACCATTTCTGCTATAAAGAATAGTTGAATAAAGTGATATGAGTAGTTTAATTATGAAATAACAAATATAACATACAGTTCACAATACTTAAACTGTTGTCTTTAAGTTGACTTATGACTCTAAATAAGTGTAAGTGTTACAAGAAATAGGAAGATTTACATTAACGACATTGAGTTGATAGGATTAAAAGTCTAGTTGTAACATTGTTACATGTAACAGTGTTATACAATTTATCCGCTATTGTGCGTTTAAACCTCTCAAATACTTTATAAGGTAATACACATTTATTTAAGATACGAACTGCATGTATACTAAGCATGTTTTTTATTTAGAACTTGCTTGAATTACAACCTTTTTACGTCTATCACTCAAAACTAAACCACTTTAAGTCATGAATATCATTTAATATCTCTACAAATTGCGTGTAATACATGCTATAAAATGTACTTGAATGCAGCGTGTAATTGTAAACTTGTTTATCAGCCGAAGCATGCCCAGGTTACCTTAATCACTGTGTACAACGTTTATTCTGGACATGCGACTGCATGTTTAGTGTGTATTAAGGACCCTATCGAAATATTTAAGCTGCGATGTGAAAAAAAATATTTATAGTTTCGATGAAGACCGTCTCCTAATTCACACGTAACTATCAATCATGATAATAATGACCCTGACTTCTCTCTATATTCCACCTATACCATTCAAACTCTTTATAACAACATTGACATTTTATCTGAAGGCATTTGCCTGTCCGTATTTGCATGAGTTTTCAATAAACTATCTGGTGTAAGTCATGTTTGAAACACATTACGGCAAGGTAGGCTTTTATCCAGCTAGATGTTTTCAATAGCTGTCAGGAAAACCTCTCAGAATTCACCTTATCACGCCTTTCATGGCATTCTTGTATTAATTTACGATGATATATCGCTGCGTCTAATATTAACAAAAATGACTTTATCATTTTAACGAACGTCGAACGTGTCATTACGGTCTTTGTATCATATCCCCTAATTTATGGACAAATTTTATATCTTTTATTTCACTTGAAAAATGGCCCATAATTTTCACACCGCTGATCGCATCAGGTGTATTCAAGTTTGTCATGATTTACAGTGGTGTAGATAGCTATCGGGAAACATTTAGGCTTATCTTACAATTTACATGCATTATATCTTTGAAAGCGAGCTCTATACCGGCAATTGAGGGTGATTTACTCAAACATATGTTGTACCATTTTAATACATTATGCAGTTTGGTTGTCAGCAAGTAATTTTAATGTTCTTTCGGTCCCTGATCAAAGGTGTCGGCTTTTCATCCCAGGAACTTGTATCGCCAAATGAAGATTGCATCTCGCGTTTGCATAGCATTTTGCAGAAAATAGGTTTTTATCAAACCAAAATCTCCCTTCGCCTAAATGTCAGATAGACCGCAGTTTGTCTTATCTATCTAGTTGGTTTTGTGAAATACCAAATTCCTATTTGTCATGAAAGCGAATGTCGTGATACATGTTAATACTGATGCCCTTTTCGTCAGAACAACTGCTAGCGATTTTTTTTAAATAGTTTTTATCCATGTTCGCCCGTCAATCACAAGAGTAACAGCGTGGGCCTCTCAATCATCGTAAACGACATATGGAATCCCACTTAAGACCAGATTAACTGGCAAAGCGACTTTAATTCATTACGGCAGATGTCAAACAAAACTTTAAACTTCAGTAATTGTCCTCCCTCTGTAGGTTCATTTTTTAGTTTTGTTTGATGTGGTGTTTATATTGAATTATCGTCCCTATTTTTTTTCCAGTTTCATTGATGTGAGAAAAATCCGGACTCACATCTTTTGTTCTGTAAATAAATCTTTACAAGTTTTACTTGTATCCTACACATCAATGTAGAATTAAAGAGTTGATAGAGAAGCACACTATTAACGAATAACTTGTAAACGTATTTGGAAGGCGGCAGGTTCATCAAGATTTTTATCTAGATATCTTTATGATAAACGTTTTCATCCGCTAACGTCGAAGCCAACAAGAGTTATTAAGATAATTTGAAATAACTTGTACGAACCCATTTAATTCCGGTTTCACATGTATTAGTTTTGTAATTGCTAAGGTAGGATACTGTTATCATTATTATTTTCCTAAAGGTTTTGATACACGTAACCTTACTGCCAAACATTATCTATCCTTCCCTCGGTTGTAAAATCATGTGAGCCGCCTGTTTAGGGAGTTAACCTGTTATTTTTCTACTAAATGTACTAAGTATATATTTAGTATGACAACTCTCCCGTGACATACTTTGTATGTGTATATATATTAAGTATGACAGCTCTCCAGTGACATACTTTGTATGTGTATATATATTAAGTATGACAGCTCTCCAGTGACATACTTTGTATGTGTATATATATTAAGTATGACAGCTCTCCAGTGACATACTTTGTATGTGTATATATATTAAGTATGACAGCTCTCCAGTGACATACTTTGTATGTGTATATATATTAAGTATGACAGCTCTCCAGTGACATACTTTGTATGTGTATATATATTAAGTATGACAGCTCTCCAGTGACATACTTTGTATGTGTATATATATTAAGTATGACAGCTCTCCAGTGACATACTTTGTATGTGTATATATATTAAGTATGACAGCTCTCCAGTGACATACTTTGTATGTGTATATATATTAAGTATGACAGCTCTCCAGTGACATACTTTGTATGTGTATATATATTAAGTATGACAGCTCTCCAGTGACATACTTTGTATGTGTATATATATTAAGTATGACAGCTCTCCAGTGACATACTTTGTATGTGTATATATATTAAGTATGACAGCTCTCCAGTGACATACTTTGTATGTGTATATATATTAAGTATGACAGCTCTCCAGTGACATACTTTGTATGTGTATATATATTAAGTATGACAGCTCTCCAGTGACATACTTTGTATGTGTATATATATTAAGTATGACAGCTCTCCAGTGACATACTTTGTATGTGTATATATATTAAGTATGACAGCTCTCCAGTGACATACTTTGTATGTGTATATATATTAAGTATGACAGCTCTCCAGTGACATACTTTGTATGTGTATATATATTAAGTATGACAGCTCTCCAGTGACATACTTTGTATGTGTATATATATTAAGTATGACAGCTCTCCAGTGACATACTTTGTATGTGTATATATATTAAGTATGACAGCTCTCCAGTGACATACTTTGTATGTGTATATATATTAAGTATGACAGCTCTCCAGTGACATACTTTGTATGTGTATATATATTAAGTATGACAGCTCTCCAGTGACATACTTTGTATGTGTATATATATTAAGTATGACAGCTCTCCAGTGACATACTTTGTATGTGTATATATATTAAGTATGACAGCTCTCCAGTGACATACTTTGTATGTGTATATATATTAAGTATGACAGCTCTCCAGTGACATACTTTGTATGTGTATATATATTAAGTATGACAGCTCTCCAGTGACATACTTTGTATGTGTATATATATTAAGTATGACAGCTCTCCAGTGACATACTTTGTATGTGTATATATATTAAGTATGACAGCTCTCCAGTGACATACTTTGTATGTGTATATATATGAAGTATGACAGCTCTCCAGTGACATACTTTGTATGTGTATATATATTAAGTATTACAGCTCTACAGTGACATACTTTGTCTGTCAATGAAATAAGACGACACGGTTTCGTACCAGATATGCTTACATCTAAGACATTTCACGTCATCATCAGTGATATGACATGTGGTACAGAACGCTTCCTTTTCTGGAACATCTGGTTCCGTCTCCTGTGTCCATGGTTCCTGCTCAGCCGTCATGGAGTTCCAGTTTTATCGTCATACCCTGACTCTGTTGACAATGTCATCCATGGTCTCGCAGATAGTTCAGCACGTGCTATTTGCTACCACCAGGTCCTATTTGTATTTGTATCTTGCATGCCACCTGCATGAAAGTAGTACAATGATTAGACTGTAAAAAATGTGTCGAGCAGCATTTTAGGTATATATTTTGACGAACGTCTGTACATCTTATCTCGACATGATATTATGCTGGAACTTTTTATGTTCACTTTGGGAAAGTATTTGGAACGAGTAAGTTATAGTACAGTTGTTTTAACATTTCAAACAATTTTTTATACAACAGGACCAGTCTCAGCTGGGAACACAATGGTTCCACTAACCAACTGAGCTACATGATAAACGTTGTTACCTGCCAAGTCTCGCTAAAACGACACTAAGCAGAACTTCCTGTGTGTGTGAACAGTGGAACTCTCTAGTGTTTGCCTGCAGTGGTACAATGATCCTTAAAGCGTGTAGATATAGCGTTCATTGGGGACAATGACCGTCAGTATTATGTGTTTCATGAGATATCGACATGCACCATGGTGATGACCCTTTCTTTATGTGCCAATTGTGTGTTTTCTAGGCAATATCTACGACTAATATTACCACTAAAAAGTGAATCTGCCCTTTACTGTAATAGAATATAAGAAAATCAATAATTCGAATTAAGCTGATCCTAAACGAAGCAGACACATCATATTTCCATTTCTGTTGTTTATTGTGTGTTTTATTGTCATTCAATAATCTTTCTCAATTCCCGCGGAGTTAATTTATCGCATAAAAGACAGACTTCAGACAACATTATTGTTTTATTTTGAAAGTCTCAAAGTCATATATCATTGTGGAGTACAAAGCCTGGGGAGAACTACATCAATTAACCAGCACTGGGTTTTATGTCTGGACCGTGGGACTTGTAATGATTTCAAAAGACTTTGTCAACATTCATTACAAACCTTGAAAATAGAGGCCTTTCACATAATCAAATACAACTTGAATTGCTTTCATGGGGTCAGGGTGCGCATATCATTTACCGTATACATTACCCCCCTTTGTATCCCACAAATCTGAGTGCTATTTATTGCGTTATTTACGACCTAAAGGGGGGACCTTGTTTTTCACTTAACACATAATTTAATATGTTTGCACATGACCCCGACGACAGGGTTACCTGCTTTGAATGCTCCGACTCAGATCAAACGCAGCCGTCCACGTTAGCGTACAATTGTACGGTAGAGGAGGCCTCTGCATCAATACTGTGTATGCTAGTTAGGTTCCAGCTGCCGGAGAAGGTGATGGACTGTAAGATCGCCCTGGTATTCGTCATATAGACAGGCATTACTAAATATAAGTTAACAGGTGCTACCCATATTGCTGGTGGTGTCTGTATAACAAGTGAAAATACGACAGAGAGACAGTTGATGAAGGAAATTCGGGACGTTATGTATATATTGGAAAAACGGGTACACCTGATTGTGGCAATATATGTATATATATAGATACTCGATATGTTGGTATTATACCACTGTTTATTTTTCCCAAAACATTTAAGTCATACTAACAGAAAATACGCGATAATGCGATTTCTTCAATTTTCTCAAAGTATTTAAAAAAAAAATCTCTGAATTATATTGATATTTATAAAACTAACAATCACATTTCAATATTCATTTACTTATAAGAAACACGTACGAAGCTAATCAAAACATAATTGAGATAACGAATTCACTTAAGCGATTTACACTCGGCGATAATGGCATAGGCAAAGGGGTTCTCTATTTGCAATATATGTATTAACTCTAAGATATGGAGTGTTAAGATTACTTATGAGGTCTGTTCGTATATCATGTGTCACAAACGATTATATGTTATGAAACATTTTTTGGGTGAAACAATAGCACGAATTATTCGAAACATATTTCATGGCAATTCAAAAGACCATTCTCTTCCTAATATTGCTAAACCAATTCATTATAAAATAAACCAAAGATCTTCACAAAGGACCAAGTGTTCTGGAAGGGTAAGCGTATTATGCGGCGACACCCGACATGTAAATCAGTCTGCTGGAAAGTCCTGTTACGACAGTCAACAAGCCACTGTCAATCTGGAACACAACTATTATCACAATTTCATCCCCAGTATATTTCATCATAACCATTGTCATGTCTTTTAAAAACGTTTGCTCCAAAATAGGTTTAAAATGTATATATCGCTGTAAGCTTTTCTAGGAAATCAACCCCTGATGAGTAGAAAACATAGGTGTTCTTTCAGTTCGGTACAGGGTTTGGTTGGGTAGAGGATGAAAAAGACAAATGTTCTGAAACATGTTTAATGAGACAAAGCTCTAAGTTAATTGAAAGATCATTCGAGTTTCTCAAAAGACCCCTACCAGTAAGTTTAGAGAAACTCGAAAGACCCATACCATTAAGTTTAGATAACGGATTTAGGTGCGAGAAGTTTGGATAATTACTTGATAAGACAACTTGCAGAACCAGCAATAAAATATTGTTTGATATGGACCCATGAAAGGTTTCGGAATCAAATACAAAAGAAGTCTATATCCGTATGTATACTTATCATTGAAATATTGTTCAAACTAATCTATAACAAGCATGTCTGTGCCCCATGAGGTGTCAGATAATCTGTTATGTGAGGGGCTTCTGGCATGATTATGATCAGTACTGTGCCTTGTGATTTTGTTGTCATTTCTCCAGTTATTGATGTGAGGACGTGACTAGGATTCGACCTATACATATATACATATACAAGGCGGGGTCGTCGACCTATACATATACAAGGCGGGTGTCGTCCATGAAGCCAACTATGCTTACCCTTCCGGGACACCTGGTCATATTCTCATTGTAAGTTTGCAAGGTTTCTATATAAACAATTCAATTGTTCATATTTTGCCATAGTTTTATCGATTTTGAGTTCGAAGTATCGTTTTGTAGATACTTCGGTATTGTCTATTTCAAGGGCTGCCGCAGAAATCTTCCCTTTTGGTTTGGTTTTATTTCTTTGTGTTTTATGTCCTATTAACAGCTATGATCATATAAGGACGTGCCAGGTTTGTGGTGGTGGACAAAAACCGGAGTTCCTGGAGAAAACCACCACCTACAGCCAGTATCTGGCGACTGCCCCACGTAGGCCTCGAACTTGCGACCCAGTGGTGTAGGGCTAGTGGTAGCAGAATGTCAGACGCCTTAATCCTTCACTTTCTTCACATTCTGTCCTAGATTCGCCGACTGGAGTCCCTATTACAGCTTTGTTTTTCATTTCTCGATACTTATATTTACAACTCAGCGACATTCTCATTTAGTACGTTTTTTCCCAATCGGCTGTACCAGCTGAGAGCGCAGAAGACCAAACCAATTCGTTCTTACATACAACAGCCTTAGCCTTGGGAATGGCTCTGATAACAACGTTATTAAGACATAAAAACAAGATTCCTTTGTTAATCAGCGAACAAATACATATCAAAGTTACTTATATAACCTTGTATTTCATTAATTCTACATATATATATACATCTACATATATATATACATCTACATATATATATACATCTACATATATATATACATCTACATATATATATACATCTACATATATATATACATCTACATATATATATACATCTACATATATATATACATCTACATATATATATACATCTACATATATATATACATCTACATATATATATACATCTACATATATATATACATCTACATATATATATACATCTACATATATATATACATCTACATATATATATACATCTACATATATATATACATCTACATATATATATACATCTACATATATATATACATCTACATATATATATACATCTACATATATATATACATCTACATATATATATACATCTACATATATATATACATCTACATATATATATACATCTACATATATATATACATCTACATATGTCTGTACATCTACATATATATATACATCTACATATGTCTGAACTGTTTAGCTGTATCCTGATTTAAATCTAAAATCGGCCTTAAAAGCTATAGATTAAGATTTCTGCATTTCAAAATTTTTAAGTGTTTTAGTGAACAAACAGATTAATGCCGTGTTTTAGATGCTTCCATAGTTCACACACGAATCCACATCCTTTGTAAGATTGGTATTGTGTTTGTGCCTTTGAAAGCATCCCAAATTGTAGCGTAAATAGCTTAAATTAGACCAACAGACAGAGGCATTGGTGGTGAAGTATAAAGATAGTAGAACGGAACCGATAGTCAAGGGTTACTACCCAGGCGTAATTAACAGATACCAACAACAGGGCACCTGCTAAAGGAGTTTAGTGTTCTCGGGTTCAACCTAATATCCTAGTAAACGATAACTACAGAAGCTAACGGGCAGAAAAAAAGCAAAAGGTTGGGTTGCAAAAGACCTAGAACATGTGTTTCCAAAATTGATATCCAAAGTGAAGTTGCAAAAATGATAATGGCGAAAACAACAGCTGCCTAGACAAGATAAATTGCCTTGAAAATGAAATGAGTAGTTTGAGGTTGCGAGGCCCGTGAGCCGATCGGTTAGCGCTACAGGGTGATGGGGCTCCTGTCATGTGTGTGGAATCCTGTCGTAATCTTATGACGCATCCGACGTCTTTGGCGCTGCATCCTTCCTGACAACGTACGTCATCTGGCCAGCGTTCATTCTCATCTGAATTGACAGGCCCTGTCACTCAAACCTTTTCGTCTGGATGTACAGGGGTTCCGTTTGGGATATACATTATTTGCAGATTATATTTATTTATTTAAGTCATCGTGGCTTTAATCCATCCCAAATGTGGTGAGGCAGAGATATACATCCTGTCTACAGAGACTTTTGTTTATATAATCTGTTTTGTGCATTAACACACGGGATAAGTCGGTACAATCAACATATGGTTTACTTATTGCAGCTGTAGACTTTCATTTGAAGTTTCCATCGTGCCAAGATCCCTTTCCCACGAGGGGCCCCCAAACCAGATGTATGACCTGTCGTGGTGGTCTGCGTATCCGTCATGAGTTATGTTTTCCTATTTCCCTGCTGCCGAAATCTGACAGCTCCTATGTAAATGATATGCTTGAATCTGTTTTCTACACTTTATTTTACCCATTTAGAAAACATTCCCTGCTGTTTTCTTAACAAGCATCTTAGTCTTAGTTTATTGTAAGGAATAGCTCCGCAGATTATGACTGACAGGTCCGAAGATTGGCAGCCACCGTGTTTAAAAAATTAGCTGTTGCATGCAGAGGGTAGCTATAACGAGTTGTTTGATTAACCGACGCTTTGATCAGCTGATATCGCTCGGCTGTATTCTTCAGACTTGAACTGCTAGTGTTTCCTACCTTCCTAACCCCCCAGTGGCGCTTGTCAAATCAATTTTTCATTTCTGCCCGTTGCCAATCTCCTAACTCACCTCTTTTACAAAGGCATCCCGCGTATTTAGGGTTCAGAGCGGCCTACTGGCTCCATCAGCGGTTATGACAATACATCTTCGTAACGATTCATCTATACTTCCCCCTCGAGATGGTATCCTCATTTTTTGTTCATTACGGAGAGTCCAATGTATTGCGAAGTCAAATTTATGACAAGCTTTTACAGTGCTCTTCGTATAAGTTTCGGTTTGAGACGGCCTGATGTAATCTCCACACGCAAGCTCCCTGGCGCTACGTCATCTCGGCGGTATCAGAGAACGCATTCATAATTTTGAATTATTCCGGATAACGTCTGACCGATGTTGGTTCCAGCGTCCTGTAAGTATGTTGTGATTTATCCCTGTCTGTGTATTATTACTGTCACATAAACAAGGCCGGCCAACAAGTCACAACTGTATAGAATGATACGCTGCTGTGTTTTATGTCATTACACCGGCAATACAACCACTCACACGGCATAAATAACAATCACCCGATGCAACACCGCCAGATAACCAGAAAGCCTAATTTGATACAGAAGCCAACCGGAAAGCCACGTCATTACAGAACACCTGAGGATTGTAAATATCCTCGGCAGACGACGCTTGATATCCTGTCAATATAAATATGCCGTGTGCTAAAAAGTAAAGTCGCTTTAACAGGAAGATCAATGGAAATAAACAAGCGTGTACGATGGCATTAGTGCGCCGTCGATCATTGGTCTTTTATCAGGGGATGCTGTACGTGTAGTAGTGAGTGAGCTACACATCCCTCCGCGAGTGTTCTCAGGCGCAGTGACAGCCGACAAAGCGTCACTTACTCTGCATTGTTGATTCAATTGAAAGTGTATGTTCTCGTAATGTCAAGCAAAGGTCGACCGATAGCCATAGTCAGGATCAACATCATTTGTAAATGTTGTAAGAAAACATGGTGTTTAGTAGATTATAATACAAGTTATTGATTTATTTAAATATAAATGTTGGCATTTATAGAAAACAAAAATTTAGAATGCGTTTTACTAGTGTAACATGGGTAACATTATAAGCTGATCATCAGTCACGGGGAGATGTTCTGCAATTAAAACATCACTTCCGGCATCATAACGCCAATACTGACGTCACATAACGTGATTTCTTTTTTCCCCTTACTACATTTTGTGTCAAAAATAATGTTCGTTTTTACATTGTGTATTGAATTACATTTTTAAATCACGAGGAGAATGCTTGAACATTGTTCCCTCTGGGCTGTTCTCAAACCATTCACCAAAACCATTGTGTGTTACAGTTATCTACATCCATAAGACTGGCCCTGACCCAGACGATAGACGGGATCATCTTCAATAGTGATGTCAGAACTCTGCAGTTCCTAACAGAACTACAAAGAGATACAAAGAGATACAAAAAGATACATAGAGATACAAACTGTTACACAGAATTACAGAGATGCACAGAGTTGTGTAGTTTCAGTGTTTGTTACTAAGTGCCACACAGACCTTACGCAGAAAATAGAACTACAAAGAAGTACAGAGAGTAACACATTGTTACAGAAATCAAAACAGACTTCCACAGTTACAAAGTAACTCAGAACTACACAGAGTTATACAGAGTTACAGAGTTATACAGGGTTATACAGAGTTACAGAGTTATACAGAGTTACAGAGTTATACAGGGTTATACAGAGTTGTACAGGTTTATACAGAGTTGTACAAAGTTATACAGAGTTACACATAGTTATGCCGGGGTATTTAAGCATTGAACTGTTTTTGTATGGTATTTATGATCTATTTGAATGACACAGCTTTGCAAGCAAACAACATAATGCGCGCTAGCGCATTATGATTTGTTTGCTTGCAACGAACCCCTGAACATTTGTTACGAACCCCTGTTGATCAGTGCAGTGTAACAGACGATATTTCTGATAAATTGCATGAGCGTTAAAATTGTTTCCATTGCCGGCATTGGTGATTTCAACCGATGTGCATTTTGTACGAAATTGCAGACCTTGGTCTTGCTTTCGTTGTAATAAAAGTGTTTTTTATTTAATTTTTTATTTTGCAGATTAATTTAATCAAATCTCACAATGCCCAGCGATATTTCAGCAGCCGTCATGTTTATTTATATTGGATATTGTAGTTCCGGTCAGTGTTGTATTAATACGCTAAGAATTGTGTCTCGTGATGCATGGTAATTAAAGTCCCATCAACGACACAGCTTTCAAAGAG